TGTACTCCTAAGTAGATTCATAGGGTCTGACTGACATCCTGGTTATGTAGCAAAATGGAGACGAGTGTTTCTTAACTAGCGTTGAAGGTCACGCTTTCTCTTCTTCTCTTCCATCTCTCAACGCTTGTTCTCAATTACAATTGCTCTGACCACCATTGTTTTGAAATTAGGATACACAACAATCATCAACTGCAATTGAACTACATCATTCAGTCCTTTCAAAAAGCATTTCTGTTTCTTAGCATCAGTATCCACTTCTTCTGGAGCACAACACGACAACTGAGTGAACATGTCATGATACTCACACATAGTCATAGATCCGTGCTTGAGAGCCCGAAACTCATCTGGCTTGAGTTCTACCACACCTGTGGGAATGTGGTACGACCTGAAGCTCTCGCTAAACTCCTTCTAGGTGATCCGTCCAACATTGTTGGGACGTCCATACTGGTAAGACTCCCACCAGTCTTGTGCCGCGCCTTGGAGTTGGCCGAACGCAAAAAACACCTTCTCATGGTCATCACACTGAGCTATGTCAAGTTGTCTCTCCACAACTCTAAGCCAGACATCAGCTTCTAGTGGTTCACTTGTATGAGAGAATGTCGGTGGGTGTCGCTTAATAAATTCACCATGCTTGTCAATAGGTGGTGCTTGATGTGGGTTGTTCAGCACACTCTGAGCAATAGTCTGTAATAACTGAGTCTACATCATCAAAACTTGCTCTATAGATGGGGGACTAGGTGGTGGTGGATTAGAATTGGCAGGATTTCTTCGGTCATCATGCGAAGCACTTCTCCTGGTAGCAGCCATAGAGATACTCGATGCTTCCAAATGAATAACTAGAACATATGAAACTTCATCTTGCAAATTCTTCAACTTGGCTATCCCCCTTAAGAAAAGATAACTAGGGGACACAAAAAGGGCAGCTTGCACCTTCTTGCAGATGAGCTAACTAGTATCAACACGTTTTGACATCCCAATGATACTCTTGTGTAGGGGCAAGAACAAGAAATCTGGAATTCCTCGAGACTAGAAAAACAACAGCGTAGTAAAATAGCTGTAACTCTCATTCTATTAATCCAATGAAGTTGTAGCTTATACCGTTGGAAAGCTTATCAAATCCTCCACAACTTCCTTATAGAATACTTTTCCAAATTCTATAGTTCAGGTAGTCAAAAACAGTGCACAATAGAAACTATTCTAGGCTTCAGACAACATCGATGTATCGCCTTGTCATTTTCATAACTCCATAACCAAAATAGCTATCAGGGTGATTCTTATGGTCGGAGAAATATATTGAACTCTACTATTGTCCATAATTTTCTCATGATTTCTGATCGTCCAAAATCAGAGATATAAGCCAAAGAGTGCAGGCTGCTCCAAAAGGCAGGATGGAGAAAACAGGAGATAACCAAAACCTGACTATTTATTTCATTAATCCTTATACCTTAGGCTTATAAACTAAATAAAATTGTGCGAACACACAATAAGATCATTGCAGTCATTACAAAGATCCAAAACAAGCATAAGCATAATGATAATTCAGCAAAGCACTAAAGGTGCACAACTCAATCATTGACTCAACTTGCGATCCTATCGTCCTCATTGTACTAGGGGTAACAATCCTAAGACTCATCTTCAAATTCTGCAAGAAGGTGGTGAGGAACAGTTCTAAAAGCATATCAAAACAAGGAGTGAAGATGAGAACAAAGACTTTAAAATAAGCTCCAAGGTAGAGATGAATAGCAAGGATAGAGATATAGTAGAGAAGAAAATATCAAGGTTCATAGAGCAAGGGTTTTTGTAGCAACTTCTAAACCTTAGAGCGACCAGTTTCTACTAGGCTTGCGTCCTACAGTCAGCATTGCTTTAATACCACTTTGTAGCACCTGGTTTTAAAAACAAAACTAGATATGCACCATATGTGAGCCTAGGAAGTCAAATCTCACATATAGCTACAAATAAGGGTAATATCAAAAGACAATGCTCAATATATAGTGTACTTAGTATAAAGGATATAACCTTAGATAGCAAACAGCGGAAAGATACCTCCGATCTTCGGGTGAAGACTCAAATGCCACAGGGACAACTGACTGGTTGATCACAAGCCTAACTTCTTCAAACTCTAGCAATCTGGTACCCATCCGGGATTTTTCTAAAGATTTAAAAAGTAAAGCAAGCATAAGTACATGTTGTACTCAACAAATATAACATGGGGTTCATGAGGCTCAAAAGATTTACACTGATTTAATAGCGATTAACATTTAGTGAGTCATCTTTTAGCAATTGGGTGACAATAAGTTTATTAACAAGCCCATGTAAACACATGATCAGGTAAACATGAATAATAAATAGCATAAACAGTAATCATTAGTGAGCATCTTTATCATCAGTATCATCAGTGTTCATCATCTATTCCGTAAGGGTTCTAAGGCCGCTCGTGACCGTGAGCATGGCTGTTATAACAGTTTTACACTCTTGTAGAGGTTGTACACTTTCACTGTGAGTCGTGATTTACCCTTTCGCTTGAGGTTGCGAGCCTCTTAACCCAGTACCAAGGAAGGTTAGCAGGGTTCACTATGAAGACTTTCAAAGGTTCGTCTAACAAGTTAGGGCCATTAGGTTCACTCAGCAAACAGATATAGGAACCCCCTGTCGAATGGCACAGTTCCATCATGGCTATACACATAAGAGTAGAGGTTGTCCTATACCTGATTTGGCAAGCCATTCTTACGCCATAAATGTAACCTCTAACAAGCTAGAAAAGGTCCTCACAGTGAGCTAAAGCAAGAGCCATGTAGCCCTTATAGCTGTATTGTAAGTCCCGGATGATCACTTACAGATAAGTCCTTAGGGAGAGGAATCTAGTGCACCATAATAATAGCCCAATGCTCTAGCCCCCTGATTCCATGTTGTGAAAAACATCTTTTAGTGGTGATTGCATATACCATTAGTCAAGTTACAAGATCATGGCTTTGGTTGAGCACTAGCATCATACTACCGAATGCAATACCCCATAGGTGACAAGGAATCCAAGATATCAAATAACTAGGAAAATTTGCTACGGTTGCCAAGGTAGACACATGCATATGATTAAATTATTAAAGTGAATAGGACAATAAGGATGATCCCAGGTTATACTTTTCTTAAACTCTGATCCTTCTTCAAGTCGAAACCTTCAATGAATTGCTTCTCGATTCACCACGTATAGCTCACCGACTGGACATGATCATAAAGCACCACACAGGCATCCATGCAATCATACACGAAGCAAACGAAAAGAACTAAATTAGAACAGTACACCAAACAAAATAAACAACAAGGAAAAAGGTTTTAAAGATGTTCTACATATTAATATGAACACACAGACGTGAAAAACACTCTAATCGGAGCTATAACAAAAAAGTTATAAATTAAACAAGATTTTCTTTAATAAAATAATAGATTAAATCTAACCTTGAATTTCAAAAGTTGAAAACATGTTTACCAGTAGGATAAACATGTAGATTACATAATTACGAATCTAACGCAACTTGAACGGATCAAATCGGAGTTAAGACGGAGAAGTTATGGCCTAAAGAAAATAGTGACAAAACTGTAAATAGATAAAAGCGTATTTTGGATCTAACCGAAGAAACTACGTTTTCAAAAGAAGAAAACATATTATGTGAATACGCCATGGACTACGGGTAATATTATGCAAAACTACAGGGACTCTTTTGAAAGATTACCGGCCGAAGGGGTACCAGTGAATCTGGACCGTCGGATCGAGAGTGGACGACGGGGATTAGAGGAGGGAGGGCAAGAGGGGGGTGGCTGGGCAGAACAGTAAGGCCAGCGCGGTGGCTTCCATGGCCGGTGACGTAGAGTTTGTCGGCGATCATAGGGACGACCCTAGAGGCCACGGTTCGAAACATGAAAAACACCGGGAGAACGAGGGGAGCACGGCGAACTCACCGTGGGACTTTCTTGTGGTCGACGGCGAGGCTACGACGTCGGGCAGCACGTCGGGGTGACGGCGAGCACGGCAGCTAGGGTTCCGCAGTGACGCTGCAGCTCTAGATGTGAGGCAGCGCAAGCTAGGGTTTGGGATGGGGATGGCGCGCACGAACGCTCGGCTTTTATGAGGCGGTGTGGCGTGGGGTGCATGGTACGATGTGAAGACGTGGCGACGGCGGATTTCCTCGGCGGCTGAGTCCAGGGCGGTGACGAGCAGGTGGTAGACGACGCCGACTCGGGAAAGAAGGCGCTGGCAAGCGGGGTCTAGTTGTCGGCGATTGCACGCGGTGAGAGAGGAGATGGGCGCGGTGTTCAGCTTGGTTGGGCCGGTGGCGCGTGGTGTGCTGCGGCTTAGCGAGGCGGGGGCAGGCCGCGGGGAGAGGAAAAGCTGGGCTGGCTAGCTTGCTGCTGGGCCATGGGTGAAAAAGAGAGGGATGGGGAGGAGCAGCGGGCTGGAAGGGAGGAGCGGGCGCGAGGTGAGGGGAAGGAAGCAGGCCGGCTGGCCTAAGGGCCAAAACAGAGAGGAAGAGTTTTCTATTTTTTTTTATTTTAAAACCTTTTTCAAAACCATGTTAAAAGCAATTTGAATCATTTTGAGTTTTAGATCAAAACCACTCATTACAATAAATCAAATGCAACGGCATGTATGCTCAAACATGTTGCTACCTTATGATAAGTTTTTAATTTAATAAAAAATTTATTTTTTCTATATTTCATAGCATAAAATGCAAATTGAAATCATTTTTCATCAATTTTAAAACTGAGTACATTCTAGGGTGTTACACTTGCAGGCAACATGAGCAATGTAGACAAACAAAAGCCCGGTGTCATCACAGGCACCCAATGCATGAATAAGCTGAAGGGGAAATAAATCTAGAAGAAGCAAATACCACACACCATGCGATCTAGGCACCACCACCCCGTCCTCCGCGTCAATCCGCCACTAGCAGCAGCCCCCACACATGGGCTCGCTAGATCTGGCCTGCGACGGTGGGGTCTTCATCCTAGATCTCGTCGGCGGCGCGGAGCACCTCCTCGATGTGCACGTTGTTGCCGAGCGACGACGGCACGTTCCCGGCGATGCCGGTGACCAGTTGCCCGTAGGCGCCGACGAGCCGCTTCCCGCGCAGCGCCGCGCACACCAGCCGCTCCCAGTTGGCCTCCGCCCTCACCATCGGTGGAAGCCCCTCAGATCTAGCTAGGGGGCACCCAGCAGTCTAGTCTCTCGTAGGCTTAGAGGCCGCTCATCATGGGCCCCACGCGCCTCCAAGCGTCTACGATCGATTGGCGACGGGATTCAGCGTTAGGGTTTCGAACGCCGCGGGCGCGCGGAGGCATGTGAAACGGAGGTGGTGGCGTTTGAGCTTTGGGCCGGGAGAGAAAAGGAGCAGTGGGCTAGTGGGGAACCGAAAAGGAAAGGCCGCCGAAAATGAAAAGAGACGAGGCAGTCGGATCGTCCGCTCGAAACCAAAGCGGTGAACGACCGTACAAGTGGAATTGGACACACAAATTTGTGGAAATAAACGGGCATCACATGAGCCCCGGGAAAGACAGAATCAAGGGCCACAGTGTGCTTAGGTTGTTTTGAGGCTAGAAATAAACTGCTGCATGCTCCGGTAGCTGGTGCCACCCTCTACGACGGCCTTGGCCACTTCCTCGCCGGTCCTCATCGCCCTTGCCCTGATCGCTGCGTCGGACATGACCTCCTTTACTTTGTTCCCGATCTCCTCCCCAGTCACCAGCCAGTCCTCCCCATCCCAGCTCTAGTGCTCCATCCACACTCCAACGCCGTCGCTCACCACTACCGTGGCGTTCACGCGGTGGTCGCCGCCGCGTGGCCACGCCAGCAGCGGCACGCCAGAGGCAGCAGCCTCCGTCACTGAGTTCCACCCGCTGTGGCTTAGGAATAGCCCCATGGACGGGTGCTTCAGAAGGGCCTCCTGGTCCACCCATGCCTTGGTCATGAGGCCACTCCCCTGCACTCGCTCCAGGAACCCCTTGCCGAGCACGTCCGTCAACTCGGCGCTATCATCTCTATCCACAGTCGTGGTCTTGAGCACCCAGAGGAATCGGTAGCCGCTCGCTTCCAATCCGGTGGCGATCTCCCTTATCTGGTCACGGCTCACGGCGTTGCGGTTGCCGAACGCGACGTACACCACTGACCTTGCCGGCTGCCCGTCAAGCCAGGCAACGGGGGAGCCCGTTGCTTCTTCCTTCTCAACTTCAGGTGAGTTGTGCTGCGACCTGAGCGGACCGATGGCGTACACCGACGGGAAGCCGGGGACGACCTTGCCGTCCCTCAGGGCGGCCAGCGCCACCGGCTCCAAGGCGTCGAACGTGTTGACCAGAAAGCCGTCGGCGTTGATGATCTCGCGGCCGTTGTCGATGAACTGCTTGGTGAAGAGTTTGTTGAGGTCGAGCAGCGGCTGTGGGAGATAAGACTGCGGGATGCGACGCACGCCGGGGATGTCGATGTCGCCGACGCCAGGCCCCTGCTCGGCCTTCTTGTCGAGGTGTACAGGGGTGTACGCAAGGAGCGAGAGCATGGTGGTGCAGGAGACGAAGAGGACGTGGCACTTGACACCGAGCTCCTTGGCGATGGGGATGACATGGGAGGTGAGGGTCACGTCTGTCACGACGGCCGAGACGCGCGGGGCGGCGCCGTCAATGAGTGGGCGGAAGAGGTGCGCTGAGCGGCGCAGGGCCTCCCATCGGAGCAAGAACGGGTCGTGGCCTGGGAACTCCGAGGCGTCGAACGGCAGGAGGTGGAAGTCGACGCGGCGGACGCGGGGGAGGGCAGCGAAGAGGCTGCTGAAGTGGTCGGCCTCCGCGGCGGAGACAGTAGGAAGAACGGTCACCACGGAGATGTCGACGTCGTGCCCCACGAGAGCCACGATGATGTGGAAGAACGGGAGGAGATGGACCATGCCGGCGCTCGGGATGAACATGACATGCGGGCGTGCGCCGCCGTCAAGCTCTCCCAGTCTCTTGGTTGTCGGCGGGGCCATGGCCGAACGCTTGGTTGGGGTGCGGTGGTGTGTCGTGGTGAAGTATTGGAGCGGGGTGATGTGGGGATGGAGAGTTGGCAAGACTTCCCACATGTCTTAAGATGTCACTGTATATATAGTACGAACCACCCTACATTATTGGTAGCACGTTTAAATAAATCAAATCAAATAAAATCATTAACTCTTTGGCGTGATCGAGAATAAAATTAATCAAATCATCTCCTACAACTAAAAAGAACAAAGTGTGGATATTTTTTGTGCGACATTTATTTTGTTTCGTCCGTCTGCCCACGCCTGTGATCCAACGACATCTTAATTACTGATTGATCATATCATTCTCCTTGATTGAATATTATCTGTCATGTGATAGAGGAATCACGGCAAAATAAAAAGTAGAAAATTATTGTACTATCCATATACACATTGCATGTTTACATGCACCAGCATACATGGCAACGAGCAAAAGGAAAGAGAATTAACACAGAAGGAAAGAGAATTAAGACAAAAGGAACCTCTTTGTATTTCTGAGAACCTTGTCAAATCTGCCTACATTTAATTACTTCCCCTCTTTGCATTTGCAAAAGGGACATATTTTTCCTCCTTTCATTTGGTTTCATGCTCACATGTTCCATCGCCCTCGCTTGCTGTTTCTTGCGTGAACCATAGTTGATGTCATCTGTCTTTCATGGCTCAGCCTCCCAATCCCAAGAGAAGGTCCCTACCTCTCCCTGACAGGAGATCCGGCCTGCCAGAGGATCTCCTTGAGTCCATCGGGCAGCGTCTCGCGTTAGGCCATGACGCGGCGTCCTTCCGATCCGCTTGCTCCCCATGGTGCGCCGCCGTCCCGTTCGCGACCTTCGGGCCGCTCCTACTGCTCCCATTCGACCTCGACTCTGACAGCGTCGGCTTCTACTGTGTCCCGGAGAAGAAGGTCTTGTCCAAGACGCTGCCCGACGTGCGTGGCAAGGTGGCGTGCGGCTCCTCGTGTGGGTGGCTGGCGCTCATGGACAGGGCGGCGTCCGGTGCCCGTGCCCCCCCGCGTTGAGCTCCCACCAGTAGGTGAACACGTCGCGGCGGCGTCCTCATCGGAATGTGTGTCTAGGGTCCACGGCCAGTGGGTCCTCCATCCCACCAACGGCTATGGGAACACGGATGCCGCAGGAAGAGCCATCAAGCTAGAAGACATGAGGGACGTGTTCTTCCATGAGATCGTGCTCTCGGCGCCGCCTGACGCCGTTGGCCACGAGTGCGTGGCCATGGCCATGCTTGGGTGCTCCACGGAGGTCGCGTTCTGCCGGGTTACAGTTCACAGCTATCGGTGTTTCGTACAAGTACCGGCAAGTAAATTTATAGTAATGCGCGTTAGGCTCGAATGGTGCGCCAAAGGACACAAGATTTATACTGGTTCGGGCCAAATATCCCTACGTCCAGTTTGTTGCTGCTCGTGTTATTAGCACCGTGATTGGTTCGTAGTAGGGGATACAAACGATCGAGGGAGGGACAGGTCCCAAGTCTCTGATGGAAGGGTCAAAAGGAAGCCAAGAGCTTGGTAGCAGCTTGACTATGTGTGCGTGTTGCGTTGTTTTTCGTCCCCCCTTTGTTGGAGGAAGCACATCCCTTTTTATAGATGAAGGGGATGGCTTTACAAGGGTCAGGGCTTAGGATGCGTGCTCCACCTAGCCTTGTGGCTCACGTCTACCCAGCCTCGTTACCCATTCTGATGGGTGTGAAAGGATGATAAGCGCCTACAATACTGGCGATGCCTCTATAGAATGTTAGGATGGTTACAGAATAGTGCCCAGCGCAGGGTATGGGCTGTAGTACCGTGGTTTTGACTTATGAACCTCGCCCAGCCTTGCTCCGCACGCCTTCTGGCTCCTATGAGTCTCTGTTGGAGGGACGTGGAGTCAAGGTCTGGATTAGCGCTGTGGGCAAGGTCCTTTGATTTGGTGGACCCGAGGGGTCGGGAAGCGGGCGCCGCTCCCTTGGGTCCATAACATGGTGATGGCATGTCCGTCATTCGTGGAGATCGCAAATCCTTTTCTAGAGTGTAGTGGTTGTCGTGTATCTTCGTCGGGTTCCGTGTCCCCGAGCTGAAGGCAACGCCTACAACTCTACAGGGTGTGGAGTACGCGCCTGCAATACCTTTTGGGCTCTGTGACGCTCGGAAGGGTTTAAAGCACCTGTCCAGTCGTTCCCTGGTAGTACCTTTTGTGCCGGGGCGCAGGGTATGGTTCTTGAAGCCGTGGTTGACCCGAACGTCTTGTCTTGCTCTGTACCCATCATCATGAGGGAATAGGAGAGAAGTTATCAGGTAAGATGAAAACAGTCTTTGGACATCGAACGGGGCGAGGTTTGTCCTCGGTCGTCGGGTGAGGCGGAGCCCAGTCCTTATCCCCTAGTCATGACCAAGCCCACCCCTCAGGGGTCGAGCGAGGCGGAGTGTATCCCTCAACCCTCGGCGAGGTGGAGACTAGCCTTCAGCCCTCGGGCGAGGCAGAGCTGTCCCAAAGGCGTCGGGCGGAACAGAGGCCAGCCCTTTGCCCTCGGGCGAGGTGGGGCTGGCCCAAAGGCGTCGGGCGAGACGGAACCTAACTTTCGTCATTCGGGCAAGGAACGCAGCGACGCCCTCGTCTGTCCCAAAGTTTTTAACGTTCGATGGTTATTGGTTCCACCTTTTTGGGTACCCTGGTATTAGGTCCCCGACAGTAGCCTCTGAGCCTCCAGGTGATTCGGATAGAACCGCCTGGAGGGTGTTTTCGATTTCGTCGGAGTCATTTTGCCAGAGGGTGTGCGCGAGCGCACCCTATGGGTGTAGCCCCCGAGCCTCCAGGTGATTTGGATAGAACCGCCTGGGGGGTTGTATCGGACCCTTCGCGGGTAAGGCTGAAGGACTTAGTTTTTCGTCAACTGGATATTTTTTCGAGGGGGGCGTGGGATCCCTTCGCGGGGATCTCATTCAGGGCTGACCTAACTAGGGTTTGACCGTGGATCGAGACCCCAGTAATGCTTGCGCCCTTGATTTTGGATCGTTCATGGACCCGTCCTCAGTTGGGCCAGCCGCCGAGCTTCTGGGCCCTAGGTGGGCCAAATAGAAAAAAATCTTTGTGACCTGCCTTCCCTAAGTGGGAAGAGAGTCCGGATTCGCCTGGGGAAGGCGAACCATCCACCGTGATTTTCGGTGGGAAAGGATAGGGACTGCGGGCGTGTGTCCCACGACGTGACGCGGCGGTGCGCGTGGCCGGCCCGGAGATCGAGGCGGATGGTTGCCCTTCTTGCGCCCGTCGACCCTATAAAACCACGGGGTTCGCCCCCAAGGTTCCGTATTTTGCCCCCTTACCTTTGCGTCTGAGACATCCGCCGCCAATCGCCCCAGCCTCCTACGCTCGCACCGCCTCCGTCGACTGGCTTGCGTCCGTGTTGCAGCCGCCGTCAAGCTTGTGCCTGTCCTGTAGCCACCGTCGATCTTGCGCCCACCTTCTCCCCAATCGCTTTAATGGAGTTGTGGGGCAGATCTAGCATCACCTCTCGGCGTTTGGAGGGCCTCGTCCGCCGTGGCCTTCTCCGTCCATTGTCCACCGTCCAGGAGTGGCTGATACCTGGTGACGAGGGTGAGCCGGCGCCGCCCGAAGGGTATGTCGTATCTTTTGCCATCTTTCATG